TCGCCCTCCACGCGTGCTCCCTGGATAAGGATTCTTCAGGTGCGGCGTGGCCAAGACAATAAACGCCTTTGAACTTTAACAATCCTTTATTGTAATTGAACACCACTTACGGTAGCAACCGAACACTTAACAAGAAAATAAGATGAATATGTCGTTAATAGAAACAGACGTGTGCCCTTGTCTAGGCATGGCGAGATTCTGCCGGGCGGCGTGAGCGCCGCGACCGCAACGACCCGAAGGGCGCCGGAGGCGACCGATGGTTGCGTCGAGTGGGCCAGTGGCCCGAATATTACCGAAACGCGCAGCGCGCCAAGCTAAATTAATTTGAATTCGCACGTATACTTAACACGCCGCCCGCCTTGAAGGGTCTGCCCTTCGAAAGTGGTAGGGCTATTGTCGACTTGGAACAATTATCCAACGTCGCGCGCCGAAACTGCGGGATAGGTTATTACGCAACAACTTAATCTAGTTAGCAACTCAAATAAAATAAGGTAAGGGAGCCTATGCTAAATAATAAACTAATGTAATCGCTTAACCGTGCGTGATACATGGGCACGGACACGTAAGTACATCTCTGCGTAAAACGCGACTAGTAAGAGTATAAATGTGTCGAACAAGAAACTAGGATTATAATAATAGCTATAAATTAGCGCAATGTGTTGTCGCCGGGAGTCGCGAAACGATAAGTTATGTGGGCAATATAGCTAGTTTCGTCAGCGGTCTGACGTATGAGCCCTTGGCAGTCTTGACGGTGGCCGAGCGGGACACGCCGTCGGCCCCCGTTTGGACGTTCTCGACGCGTCCAGTTATCCATTGGAGGGGTGCTGTCCCCTGCTGCTTTATTAATACGAGCTGCCCTGGCTGTAGCTGCTGGCCCTTGGATTTTTTCCACTTGTGTCGCTCTTGAAGAAGATTTAGGTATTCAGAGCTCCATCTTCGCCAAAAATGCTGTCGCATTTGCTCCAGTACTTGCCAACGCGTAAGTACATTCGTGTTTACATCGTTTAAATCTCTTATAGGAAAACTGTTCAAAGGGGTGCCAACCAGAAAATGCCCAGGGCTTATGTAAGACATGTCATTTGGGTCAGAGCTTAATGGAACTAATGGCCTGGAATTTAAGATGGCCTCGATCTCGCACAGTATTGTTTGCATTTCTTCGAATGTCAAGTTATTCGCGCCTACTATGCGGGCGAGATGACGTTTAGCCGCCTTTACAGCTGCCTCCCACAGCCCTCCTTGATGAGGAGCATGGGGAGGAATAAAGCTCCACACAGTGTGTTGATCGCGCAAAAAGTTTTCTATGTCGCCACGTGCAGGATCATTTCGAAGGAAATCGTAAAGCTCCTTGATCTGCCTTTGCGCCCCAACGAAAGTAGTCGCGTTGTCCGAGTACATTTTCTCGGGCTTGCCTCGACGAGACATGAGTCGCTTGAGAGCCGCGATGAATGCCTCGGTAGTAAGATCGCTCACGAGTTCTAAGTGTGCCGCCTTGGTGGCAAGGCACACAAAGACGGCTATATAGGCCTTGCGTATTCGAGAGTTACGGCGCTTACCTTCCCGTATACCGACGGGACCGGCGTAGTCAACGCCACAGTGCGAGAATGGCCTCGAAATGTTGACCCTGGGAGCTGGCAGAGAGCCCATTAGGGCCTCAGAGAAGACCGGTTTTGCCCTGAAGCAGGCTACGCAGTTATTGATGATTTTACGAGTGGATGAACGCAAAGATAGCGGCCAAAATCGTTGCCTAACCGCGGCCATGGTGGCCTGCGTGCCGGCGTGTATGTTGCGTAGATGCTCGAACTCTATTATGCGTTTTGTTAGATTATGGTCACGAGGAAGAACTACTTGGTGACGTGCGTCGAACGATAGCGCGGAATTCTTAAGTCTACCGCCCACCCTGATTAAACCGTGGTCGTCCATGAATGGAGAAAGCGAGAGTAGCTTGCTAGACTTGCAGATGTCGTCCCCCTTGCTCATTGCAGAATGCTCAGCCGGAAAGGCTTGCCTCTGAACGACTCTGCACATAATATTGAGAGATTTTTGGATTTCTTCTGGGGCAATGGCAACAGCAGGGCAGCTGGAGGAGCGACGCCCTTGTAATCTAAAGCAATAAGCCAAGATCCGACACACCTTGTTTAAACTGGAAAATTTGTTTAGCAGACCATCGATTATGCTACCGTCGGGAACCGCGACCGCCGCGTGGACCA